TCTTTTAGGTCTGCATCCAAGACAAATCTATCAATGATCGATACCTCCGGTGGCTCGTATCAGGCGGTCGTATGCGAAGAGCTGAAGAAGCCTCTGGTTATGAAAGATTTATCTCGTCAGCCATTGCAAAATAGCGAGGTCGATAAAGGACAGTGATAGTTCTGTAATCGATGTACTGTATCTAGTGCATTCACGTTAGGTGAATTAAATCAATCTGTAAGAGTTGTTAGTACTTTTAATCTTAATCTTACTGCATACGATAAGTAATGCCATAGTGGATAGCTGCTGTAATTTATCGATTGTACACGAATAAATTGAATTATGGCAAGTTAATACGAGAGAAACGATTAGCCAGTTAGAAACTTTTAAATTAATTATTATTAGTAAAGATAAAGTTACTGTAATCTTCAATTCCATCTCCTATTTTATACAGGTGAGAATAAAAGTCGAATATTGTGGCATCAATTATGCAGATATTCTAAAATCGATGGGACTATATCAAGAACGTCCTGAACTACCTTTTGTTCCAGGTTGAAATATACTGTACAATTCATAGATTTATGTCTACTATTATAAATTGTTTAACATTCCAAGCTTAAAGATTGATTAATTACATGATAATTAGGATGTGAACCTGCAGGAACTATCATAGAAGTTGGACGAGATGTAACCGGATATCAAATCGTAAGTTAGAAGTAGAAAGTAATATTTTCTCATATATTATCGATTGATTGATTAAGATTGTACTGTGCGATGCATAATTGCATATCTTACTGTAGGTCAGACTATCGTAAAGTTAGGTAGACTGTACTGTTGAAAATTGTGTTGTACACGTACAGTGAAATATATCCCTTAACAGTTTATTGATAAACTTTTAAAACGTGAATAAATAAATTTGCGTTCGATTTTTTAATGTCTACTCAATACATAGGAAAGTTGTATACATAAATTATAACGTAGTATAGACCTTGTTAAGCACTGATAAAAGTACGCTAGCACAATTAAACTACAGGAACTGATTATTTAAATAGCTTCTAGCTAGTGCCATTTAATACAAAAATATTAATAATATGAATAACTGTATTTTACTACAGGGAGATAGGGTTATCGCTCCGATGCACTTAGGAGGATATGCGGACGAGTGTGTTAACTATACTAAGGTAAATTCATGCATACTATTTTAGAGTATAAGAAAGAATACAATTGCATTAGTTACAATGAAATAACACAAGTAGACATTAAATTGAACTATTTTTGTTACTTAATTGAAGTCGGTATGGAAATTACCCGATAACGTCAGCTTACAAGATGCAACCGCAGGCTTAGTGTCATATGGAACTGCTCATATGGCATTAATAGCTAAAGCTAGTACTCAAATAGGGTATAGATCGTATAGTGTATTCCTTTTATTGTACTATTATTATAAATACTAAAGATAGTTATAACGGATAATATAATTATGACTAATTATGACGATGTAGAGAAACAGTGCTAGTTTCTGGAGCAGCTGGTAGTGTCGGACTAGCCGCTGTAGACATTGCTGCTAATGTAATCGGAGCTAAAGTCATCGCTATAGTTGGAGATGATGAAAAGATCGAGCTGGTTAAGGATAGAGGTGCTACCTATGTAATTAATCACCGAAAGCAGGACGTAAGAAAAGAGGTATAAAGAAGTATACAATTTCTATGTATAAAATTTAATATAAATCGATTATAAATCTGATTTACTCGTATTTCAATAAATTATATAAGATACTCTTTAGTTTACAAAGTATACTATTTAGTATATTGATTAGCATATAAGCTCTTCATTATTACTTACTGTTACAGATTTTAGCAATAACCGATAAGAGAGGCATAAACGTTATGATCGATAACGTAGGAGGTGATATGTTCAAGATCGGATTACGCAGGTATTTTACAGTATTAAAAACAATTACAAATTACCTACCTATGTAGTCCAAAACATTAGAGATTTATATCGAATTATCATAATATTCAATTTTAGCTAGATCGAATACCGTCTAATAAGTTATATACTGCATAATCAAACGAGGCTTTTCATATATTGGCGACGTATGAGTAGAAACTATAGCTGTAATTCTGGCATTCGTTTACTACATCATTATCGATTGTGAAATTAGTTGATTAAGTTTGCATAGGTCTATTTTCATTAGTTTATAAATAAACATAAATAGCACTATGAAAAGTTCTAGACTGGACAGCTCATAATAATCTTGGTCGTACGGAGGCCTAATAGAATGGAATATACTATGTAGGAACATCACAAGACTTAAATAAGCTATTCGAATACATTATACGCGTATATTAGAGTTATTATATTCATCACATCACGAGATCGATCAATTTTTACCATGTAGTGTTACAACATTAGTTCTCTACGATATCTTGTTATATTGTAATATAACCAGAGAATATGTTTACCAAATCAAAATAGTCTTATTCTGTCCTTACACTGTCGTCAGAGATTACAAATAGCGTTTACGATATACTGCAATTTGGTCGTTTTACATGTGGATCAAGAGTTTCTATAACTTATTTGTATAATAAGAGATACAATATTAAATTAAAACTACTTTACTAGAGCAAGTATTTTAAGATTTGTCGTATAAGACTTAAGTAGCATCCATGATATTAGTGAATATAAATGAGAGAATATTTCAATCAATCGTCTTATAATTGTTCTATATCTGAGTTATAACGATAAAATGAGAATCGATACGATTTACTTGATTTTATTCATAGATATACTTTATGATAAATTTTTGTTATTTCTTTTTTTAACTAATAGTATTGCAATGGACGGTAGAATTGTCCCTATAGGATTTGCATCCGGTCAAATCCCAAGTGTACGTCTATTTTAAATATTGTATTACTATACGATGTTAAATTACTGTCTCATATTAAAATATAGCTTATTCTCCAACAGGGTAGGCTGAATATTTACTGACAAATATATTGATAATAGTAGTGTTATTAGCTACCTACATAAACTACTACTTCAAAGCTAACGAATCATTAATTACTACTTAGATACCTGCTAATATTTTACTGGTTAAGAATGTTTCAGTCAGTAAGTAGCAAAATCTTATAATTATTATCATGCTGTCCAATTTTTTTACTAGTGTAATAGTTAAGTATATATTTGATAAATCGTTGTTTTGATCTTCATCAATTATATTTCTTTGCGTCTGTCAGTTGGACTTTTTTGGGTAAGCCTAAAATACGTAATTTTAAGTTTAGATTTAATTTACGAGATAGAGATGGAATTGATATGTAATTCCGTTAAAATTTTATAAGCATTGTAACTTAGTAAGCTACCTTATTATATCTACAGAGCAATTATGAACTTTTTGATCACGAAAAATTTTCCGAATCTGTAACGACGATTTTACAATTGTGCTCTGAGAAGAAGATTCGGCCTCACTACTCTAAAGTGTTTCCTTATAATAAGGTTCCTTCCATTGATGATAATCATCATGAATTACGAAACTTCTAATACTGTATACGTAGTCTTGAAATATTTGTATTAATGTGTTGACTATAAATGTTCTCGAATGACTAGGTCAATCAGGCTTTTAAATTCATTCTTGGTCGGAAATCAACAGGAAAAGTGTTACTTTGCCCGAATCATTGAAAAACTATAACTCAATTTAACATTACTAGATTTGTACCGCGTTTACAGGAGTTTATCTGTAACTAAAAAATGCTGGATTAATTACATTTACAATTCTAATAATGCAGTTATATCGGAATTCAAGCCTAAAGTACTCAAGTAATCATTATACAAGTGAAATTTCTAAAGTTTAAAGCTTTTACTACAGATGAATTAATTAGTCGATGATAATAATTTTCAAACTATTTACAGTAAGCTCCCTACACTCATTTTTTACAGAATAAGATTACTTACATAATTTTTTAGCTCTTGTTATCCTACTTTATTACTGGTAAGCCAGCTATCAAGTATACGCGTACATTTTACTTCAGTAAATACTATACGAGTTATCATTAATGGATTTAAAGTCTACTTAAGCTAAATATTCATACGTGCATGAATGATAACATTACATATCATCTACAATATCATCAATAAAAACTAAAAACTATATCAAATTTGCTATATTATTCTGAGGATGAGTATAAAGTTCAATGTGTAAACTGGTACTTGATCTACTGCACGAAGTGAAACGTTAAAAATGACTATTGCTTTGCTGCAGAAGTCAGTTGTCTCCTATCAATAGCGGTTACATATGTAAATAAATTACTAAATCTGAATAACGTTCGTTAGTCATTTTATGAATTTTAGAAAAAGACCAAGGATGTAGAAATGTGAGGTCGTTCAAAGCTTATCCTAAATTTAGACGAGTAGGATTAAATTTTATATCGCACTTGAGATGTGTGATTTAACTACTGTATGTAAGCTGTTGTACACGATCGGTACTAGATTGGGTTAAGGCAAAAGGTATCAGCAGAAACGCTATCATATTTATAAAAACTTGTATCACCGTCTAAATAATTAACAAGATTGTAAGTACGTAAAATGGTTAATTTTTCACATCGATAGGACAAATCGACTCAATTTGTCAGTTTTGGTAATTTATTTTGAAAATATGAAGTGATACCGTAGTATATTCGAAATAGGAGAAAAAAATGTATCACAGTTACATTAATAGCCTTAAGAAAAGAAGCAGGCGATATTGTTTTCGGCTAATCCATTGTTATAGCAATTTTTCCAGTTGATTTGCGATCTTTAATAAACTGGAAAGCTTCGTTAATCTAAGAAAATATTACAAGACCAAATTTATAAAACAATAATAACTACTGGTTAGATATATCGACTATTTCAGCTGAGTTATGATTATCTATTTACTACATGTTCGTACTGTGTGACGTAATAAAATTGACGACGACCGAGTAATTGAAAGATCATTCAATAATACCTTGTTTAAGGGGAATGAGGCACCAACATGCGGGTGAATCTTTCCTTCGCCAAGTAGCCGCACAACCGAATCTATAGAATGTTTATATAACTTTGGATCTTTAAAACGGTAGGAGCCCTAACATAAAAGATTAATTGTGAATTTTTCGTATTTTAAAATTAAGGTCAATATTTATTCTTCTATAGAAACTGTCTTCATCATTCAACTTGATCTTCTTCTCTTACCCAATATAATCCGACTAAAGAATAAGAAGAATTGTAATAGATGTTTTAAAGTAAGAAGCAATTTCACAGGTATTGTTCATTTACAGAGTATGTTTAAACTCACCGGCTGATATATTCTTTACAAGAAGTATATTAGCAGGTATCTACTCATGATAAAATATTTAGTTCTATATCAGTAAAATTAGTAGGTGTAATTTTATTTATTGTCGACTTTTAAGGCGTAGAGGTAATTTAAGTATATAATTATGATACGGAAGCAACAAACCTTAGGAATGCTACCGGATGCATACCCAATAGTAAGCAATCTACCTCCGAAGCCGGTACTAGTCGTTTACAGATATTATCAGTTAGATTAGGAATTCATTACCGTATTATGTTTAATTTTATTTTGTGATACCATCTTAAACACTTTTCAAAGGTATCGCCCCCTACGGCATCAAAGACTACATCAACGCCTTTACGTTTAGTAATTGATAAAACCTACAAAAATTTAATAGCAAAAACACATGCTTAACAGCTTGTATGCTATCAGCCATAGAGATCCATAATGGGTGCCATGTGATATGTCAGATATTGATTAGTGTTTTCGTATTACTAACTTCCGTTTTTATATCTTGTTCCCGGTAGTTAATAGCATGCATTGCTCCTTTCACTTTAGCTAATGCTGTCTTTTCTGCACTTCCAGCAGCGCCAATAACGTTAGCTCCAAATACATTAGCTCCAAGATCTACTGCAGCCAAGCCGGTCCCACCAGCTGCAGCAGTAACTAGCACAGTTTCTCTGTAAAATTGAAGGTATGATGTTTACTATTTAGTAATACGTAAGCTGAACGAAGTTTACTAATGAAGATTTGATCTTGTTCATATATTGTTTTTAAGTACAAAATAATGTCTACTACGATACAAGAATTTATTTATACATGTTATAAACTACAAATATACTTTTAGATTTGAAAAAATCTGATAGCTATCGACTGCTAACCCTTTCTTAAGTTCAGCTCGACGATCAAAAGCCATGTAAGCAGTAGCGTAAGATACAACTAGCGTTGCTGCAGTCGCATAGCTCACTGTATTGGGTATTTTCCAAGTAGCCTATGAAAGTACAAATCAGTTAATGTTCCGTTATACTTGTATATTAGGTAAGATTGCTCATGTTGCGATATGAGGCATACCACAATCGAAAATGTATTCTATGTTGATATTGATTTAATAAAATATTATTCTGTGTCGTTTTAGGATACTGTAGTATATGATGAATATATAAATGGGCTACGATAGGTTTCATGCTTTCGTTATACACGGTCACAACTTACATCAACATCAGTAATACATTGTTCTGCGAATCCATGAAGATTAACCAACGCTAGTACCTTATCTCCCTAAAAGGAAAATTATTAGTGATGATACGCTGCTTGTATACAGTAAGTCTAGAAAATTAAAAATTTAGCAGCAACCTATGTAAGGGTAGTGAATGGCGTCGTTAAGTACAGTATAATAAGATATATTTATCTTAAAATGAATTACATGATAAATTAACGTCTTTTACCTATTCTCCACCTTGAGCTATAAAGCTCACATACATTTGTTGTACAGTTATTATAAAACATTTCAGGTATATTAATTAATGAATTTCGATTATTCAATCTTGTCAACTTTACCTTCTTGAAAGTTGTGACATTAGAACCAATCTCGATGATATCGCCTGCAATTTCTGTGCCTGTAATAACATAATTAATGATAGATTAGCCATTATTCAGTACCCCACGCGTCAATGGTATTGATTAATTCTCTATTTATTTTCGCATTATGGTAGAAAATAGGAACACAGAGCCAGATCAGAAATTGCAAATAGGCATTTGTACAGTACAGTATATATAAATTTTCTTTCTTCTGTATAGCGGAAGTAAACCTCTTGGTTGTTAATAGTATAGGATATTACTAGTTATTTAGCAATACATGAATGAAAATTCGGTCAGATTGTAATCTACTCGTATGTTATTCTACGCGTAAGTTGCAAACAAGGTCATTTTTCTGGTGATTACCTGGAATAAATGGAAGATTTGGTTTCTCCTGATAAGCTCCTTGGCACATGAGGATATCGGCGAAATTGATAGCACAAGCCCGAATCCTTATACGTAACTGCGAGTAGGATCAATAGATAACATAATTGATTATGATGGAAAGATTATTGCCAATAAATAATTCTAATTTTAATCCATTTTCAGTGTAATGATTATATAGAATAATGTTGATATTTTTGATCAACAAGTGATGGTCTTTTCTCTTGATTATGTACGCGTATGTAGTCTACGTTTTCAATCTTCTTTCTACAGAAATGATAATACAACATGGATAGCTATACCATTTCAGAATTGCTAACCTCACTTGGACCAAGTTGCTTGGTATCATAAACTTTCTTAATAACTAATGGCTTGTTCGTTTGTGCACAAAATGCAGCCCGGTAAGCGGCGCCTGTACTGGTACTCGATGCACCTGTATTGGTAGTTTGTAAATAGGAGCTAGACAATTTACTTGCATGCGATGCTGCTGAACGTAGTAAACGTTCTGGAGGAGATACAAATTTAGGCATTATCGGTGTGTATAGTTTCAATTTTAAAATTGAACGACAGTATAGCCAATGGAATCACCAGACTAGAAGAGTCTAAAATGCTTTATTGCATGCACTTTTGAACTGGATAAGTTGAAGGCTTAGCGAGGTGTGGCATCGACCTCTACTGTATAATAAGTGTATATAGACGCTATACTGCAAAAGGAAGTGTAATCTTATGATCATACCGGGAATAGGTGAAAGAGTCACAAGAGAGGTCACACGTGCAAAATGACTTGTCATCCCTATTATTCTGCTACAGTATTACCCATTAGTCGGAGTTCAAGCGAACACAGTAAGCAACATTATACTACTCATCACTCATATTAGTACTACTATAGGAATACGTCTAGTGTTGCAAAAGGCTGCGAAAGGAGTTGATGACAGCGACAGTCAATTTGCACAATATCAGTATGTCAATACTGTAGTTTCAACAACTGACATCTGCGATTTCCTTTATTGATAGTTCAAAAATGAACAAACATTCAGTCATCACTGCTATTCTGGGGTCATGGAATGAGTCGAGTAGAGCAATACATACGGTGTGCAGCATACTGTACACCTTTATCAAGTTATAGCAGTTAAAAATGGCTAGCAAGATCTGGTCCGCTAGAGACTTGACTTCGAAAGGGATTTCTCTGAGAAGTCCTGGACCAGCCTGCGACTGTTTTTACCCAATAATTTGACGATGTATCTAATATTTGAGTTTCAGTACTACAATGTTGTAAAGTAAGCTTCTTTACACTTATCAAAATGGAATGGATATCGATATGTTGACGTAATTTTTGTATTAATTAATTTATTTATATACAGTGTGTATCAAAGTATTTTGCCACTTTGAAAAGCATCAACCAGTGATCTTAATAAGCAAATGCTGACTAAGAGTGTACAGTAAAGTACAGATACTGTACTGCAAGCAAAAATAATGTCGCGGTACTTCTTGGATGCATTTATCTACTCGTAGCGGCCAAGTTATCCTTAGGTGTGACATTTCTTTCGTCAAGAGGGTATGGATATCAATATATTGACGTAGTTTTTGTATTGATTAACTGATATGGAGTACAGTAGAGATACTGCACTGCAAGCAAAAATAATGTCACGGTACTTCTTGGATTCATTTATCTACTCGTAGCGGCCAAGTTATCCTTAGGTGTGACATTTCTTTCGTCAAGACGGTATGGATATCAATATATTGACGTAGTTTTTGTATTGATTAATTGATATACAGTACAGTAGAGATACTGCACTGCAAGCAAAAATAATGTCACGGTACTTCTTGGATGCATTTATCTACTCGTAGCGGCCAAGTTATCATTAGGTGTGACACCGTCTTGACGAAAGACGGTATGGATATAGATATGTCATACTGACGTAGTTTTTGTACTAATTAATTGATATACAGTACAGTAGAGATACTGCACTGCAAGCAAAAATAATGTCACGGTACTTCTAGGATGCATTTATCTGCTCGTAGCGGCCAAGTTATCCTTAGGTGTGACACGTCTTTCGTCAAGACGGTATGGATATCAATATATTGACGTAGTTTTTGTATTGATTAATTGATATACAGTACAGTAGAGATACTGCACTGCAAGCAAAAATAATGTCGCGGTACTTCTTGGATGCATATATCTGCTCGTAGCGGCCAAGTTAGCATTAGGTGTGAGTATATATGACATGACAATGACAAATATATGTCACTATAGATCATAACGGTCTGAACCGGACCGAACCTTTCTCAGGTCTAGGTGTGACACCGTCTTTCGTCAAGACGGTCAAGAGCCACGTATGCAGACAGAAATGTACTGTAGACGATACTGTATATTATACTGTACACTGTAATATGCGTACTGTAGGGTACAGTACACGGGTACAATACCGTATAGTACAATGTACTACAGTACAGTAACATATAGACTGTACACTGTACACTTTAGATACTGTGGTTGCAACCTTTAAGAATAATACAGAGAAGTTAGACTAATAGTACTACAGATCAAGATGGCCAGCAACGCCGAGAAAGGCAGTCCTAGTAGCATTGGCAATGCGCCATCAAGTAATCCATTATCACGTAAATTAAATAAAATATTAGAAACACGATTGGAAAATGATAAGGTAAGCTACTTTACTGAACGTTTGATAGACTCGGTACTTGCTTACTTTACACATAGAGCGTATCGAGGTCAAGATATGTTGTTTGCAGTTTACGATCAGTAGTATTGGCATGGATTGAAGCGTTTACATACGAGTATACCTTTGCTTTCTTCAATACTTCTTATGAATATATCCAAAGCACTGTAATTGTAATTTTATACTATCATAGGATAGCTAGTCGATAGTCAATGGTCATAATCTTGTTCACTTGAAGAGTGCTATACATGTGGAATATAACATGGATAAGATCATTTATCCCTTCGCTTTCTTCAATGCTTATGAATACGTCTATCATACTGGAGTTGATAACTTTGTGCTGTCTTAGGATAGTCAATGTTCATAATCTAGTTAACTTGAAGAATACTGTACATGAGGAATACAATTACTACTACATGGCAGTGTAATTGACTTGTAACTTATTTTGGAAGTAAAATACCTTCTGTGGAGGGTATCTTGATACAATATAGTATAGGGCTGTGCTCTTATCTATAAATTAAATTAAAATTTTCATGATTGTATACAACGTTGCTAAGAACTAATATAATTATATAATCAATCTTCGATGATAGGATATTTTAGAAGCATTAAATGCTTTGTCCGGATTTTTTGTACGTAATGACCTGAGATCAAGAAGAAATCTTCGTAGTGATATCGAAAAGAGGAGTTTAGCCATCAATGAACAGTTTGTCGATGCATTTGGCAAAGTGTATACGGTAGGCCAACCTATTTTGATAATTCTTTGAAATTGACTACCAGAAACAACAAGTTTTTATTGTTTTGATTCTAATATTGGGAAACGAGATCGTACTGTTATGTAGTCTACAAATACAACATAGGCAAACTGATAAAAGGCATCACTTTCAATGCCAACTCAAGTTAGTTTCCACTTACAAAGTGGAAAGTAAAAAGTATGCCAAGTAGAACTCGCTATCAATAAACCTTTACGACGCAAAAATCGTACGATACATCTTTTACCATGTACGAGCACAACGATTAAGTATAGGTAACTTGATCGTAGCTTTGAATGTCATTCTTTTAGAGTTTTAATACATTACGAAGTGAAATTGAAGCCATGAATGAAAGCTGCAACCAAATGACAGAAAGACTAATGGTACTAACTAACCGTTGCAATGTCGTACAACGAACTTTCCACTCTAAAATTCTACAAGTAAATAATAGCTTGGTATTTTTTTTCCACACTTTTCTCAATGGATATCATTAGGCTGCAAAATCAGAAACATCGGACCTTATCACTAAAACTTCTAAATTACATAATGAAAAGTAGGTTGTTGTAAACATTCAATTCTCTTCTACGTTTATCGATATTATGGCTGATTCATTTATAAAATCATGATTATACGTTAATATATTAGTATTAAACTATACATCTATAAATGGATATTAAACTGTAACGATAATTTAATTTTACGTGTTATAAAATGAAGTGAATCAAACCCTATTAAAATTTCACTTAATCGTAAAATTTTATACTCTAGGCAACAGCTGCAGATGAGAGCCAGGTTAGCCAATCTTTTCTTAGAAAAATTTCAGTTAAGTCCTTCCGAAATCAAAATCCTTCATGGATCTCGCAATGATCCTATTAAAGAGGTAATTTAAACAGTAAAATTGAGGAAAGAGAATTATTATTCCCTTTTCTATGAATAGCTTATATACATTAACTGGTGATCGAATAGATTAAGCTCATGCTGACAATTGTTATTTATAGGAATTCTTCGATGCTTTAGATCGTGTAAAGCAAATTCATAATGATTGTAAATTACTCTTACGGACGAGTCAACAAACAGCTGGGTTTGTTTCATTTGTCAAATATCTGTATGACTAGGACTAGGGAGAATTTATACTTAATGCAAAAATACTATATTAATTCGTTTAACAGGCTTAAGATTATGGAATCTATGGCTTTAAGTCAAGAGGCAGCATTTGAAAGGCTTTATCGCTGGACTCAATGTAAATTGATTTTTGATTCACTTTTTGACTTGTCATATTAAAATATACCATTTTAATATTTGAACATTGCAAACTTATTTGAAGCCGAATGTCGTATGCTAACTGGGGATACGACCGAAGTTTCTTCTATGCTTACCAAAGCCATGGAAGCCTTACAGGATCGGCCTGTGTTATTTAAGTTCGTAAGATTGCTAAGATATCCTATAATCGGGCCGTTTTTAAAAGTTATGCTTGATTTTTCAGGTATTCTTTAGATGAAGTTAGTAGCGCTAGACGAACAGCAATAGTTAGAGGTTTCATCGACGCACTGACACGTGGAGGACCAGGTGGAACTCCTAGACCTATAGAAATGCATTCTCATGACCCTCAAAGGTATTCATACTCGTAGTATAACATGTTGTAATATGGATGATGTATTTTTTACTCTTACGTTAATCACTATCATTTTTAAACAGATATATAGGCGATATGTTAGCCTGGTTGCATCAAGGTGTTGCATCTGAAAAAGAATTACTTCAAAGTCTACTTAAGAAAGTACTGGCTACTGGTAAGAATTTGTTGCCTACCTCAAACCATGTTGACTTTTAACTTTACAGTCTATAAGGGCACAATCGTAAAAGCTAATGTATAATAAATGGTACGCATTGACTTAGATACTGCTGCCCTTGTTAAGGAAGTGTTGACGCATGTAACTGAAGGTGTTTGTAGACCATTAAAAGTGAGTTTTCGATCTTTGCAGTTATGCAAATTGCATAAAGCACTTGTAATCGTTAATTAATAAATATTTCTTTGAAGGTACGAATTGAGCAAGTGCTCATGTCTGAGCCGGGGCCCAAAGTTATGTTTAAATTAAATAACATTATCAAATTTTATTGTAGTATTTTAAGGTATGTGATATAAATTTATATTTAACTACTGTATTTTAGTTCATGTTGGCATCTATTTTGAATTTTCTTGACCTATACTTATAGGGCTACCTTGACGAACGACAGCCCATTAGTTAATTGTTTAGGAGAGATGGATAATCTAAGTATGAAAATGTTCTATGCATCTCTCAATAGTCATTCAGCGAAATTGCTAGATAAGGTTGTACTTATTTTCATTGATTTTGTTCGTTCCATTTCATAATTATCATTGATTTAAAGTTTTGCTTAATTTGTAATGATTATTGACTTTAGATGATTTGTTTCACTAGGTGGAATTACCTCCACCAAATTTAGGGCCAACGGAAACTCTTATTCAGGGTTTGGTTTTGCTTAGAGAATTACTAGCTTCGTATGATGCTCCCGTGGCAGAGTTAGAAGATCGACAAATTGATTTAAAAAAAGTAAACTAGAATTAGATTGCTGCTATAAATTGGTTTTATGATACAATGATAAAGTGCTACGTTACATGAATTTGATCCAAGCAATTGATCGCGTCATACAGCAAACTAAGAAATATTGGACATTTTTGTAAAGAATTTTTGCATAATGACTATGTTATTCTATTCAAATAGATTCTTTCATGCATCGTCGATCCATTACTTCAAATGTGTACGGTATCAGCCGCAAGTTTAAGCGCTGCAGATATGGCCTGTTATATGATAAATTGTATATATTGTATCCACTCCACTTTAGCTCTATACGAATTTACTGACGATCATTTGGAAAAGCTTAAAGCTCAGGTTTGTTTTACCATCGTCTATAAGGCACGATTATTTTATTGTAGTGTTGCGTTTGTATATATACATGTACACGATATCATCTCCATATTCATGATATTAAATTATAAATTATCTTTTAGATTGATGCTCACATGGATACATTGGTATCGGAACAAGCAGGGTATATTTTAGCTCAGTCTGGATTAGGCTTTATTTATTCTACTCTGCAAGAACAACAAAACAACAAGGTAGGAAGAATTAAAAAACTATCAACCAGTAATATTTCGTACTAATTCATCCAGGTCATCAAAATCTTTAATTTTCTAGATTCCTTTATCATCGGTTCACGGCATGGATGCAAAATCCGTAAAATCTGCTTTAGTAAAATTTGACAGTTATTTATCGTCGCATGACGCTTTGCTTATGCCGCATTGCGCATTATTATTGAGTACCAAAATACGTGAACGAGTACAAAAGCAATCCGTTGAATTAGTTTGCAATGCATATGAATCGCTTTATAAAGCCGTGTACAATCCTTTCAATGAATATAAGGAACCGTCGTCTGTCATAATTCATACCTCAGAACAGGTCAAGAAGTTATTAACATAGCGGAAAAAGTGACTTTTTAATTTTAATTTTAAGTTCGGTACTTGCTTTAGGTTATTATTTTTAAAATAAAGAGATTGTTATACTACCTTTCGTAACATCTATTGCAGGTATTGCACGTATATGAGTTTCGCATATTGAACAAACTTTCCACCCATGCACGCAAGAATATGAATTACAATAATGAGTGGGTAGAAACAACGCACAATATTGTTCTATCTGCGAGCTTTAACTGAACGCCATTCCTCCAGTGGAACAGTTGAAGAGAAGACTTTGCAACGTTATTTGTAGATTGAATTATAACAGGGTTCAATTTGAAATTTAGTTATCGGCCATCACGCAAGATGTTTTTGTACCTCTATGGAAGTTCTAATTAATCTTGAATGAAGCGCGCCGATTTAGGCGTCTCCTAGGCACTAATCACAAGTATGCCATCGGAATTTCTCCAAAACTGGACAAAGTGGGCAGATTACGAAGGGTTAAACTGTTGGAATATCACAGTACTGTACTGCGAATAATTTAAAATTTACTATCTATACGCAATACTAACCTACTATAGTTAGCAAATTATATTGCTCGTAGATTAATCAAATAGTAAATGAGATTATGTCTTATTTGAAATTTTATTACGATTACAACCATGTGCAGCTACGTCGTATCTAAATTATTTAGCGAACTCGAAAAATATTTTTAGTCCAAATGTAATATTAGAACAGAGGCCAGCAATTAGTATTTCTAATTTAGATAAGTGCATCTTTCATCTGCGAACATAGTGTTTGCTAGTGATTGATAAATTATGAGAATACATGCCAAAAATTTCGACTGACTGTATTACGTAGAATACAGTATGTGTAAAACTGTAAAGTTTTTGTCCGATACTACAAATACAACGCTTAACTTACTGTAATGATCTCTACGAGTAAACTATGATCGGCCTATTGAAAAAGTAGTGACATTTCGCAATTTCTTAAAGTTAAACTTTAATAGAAGCTGGGGCTCAGTAGGTATTTGTACTTGCATTTCCATGAATCAATTTGTGGTTTTCTGTCTTTTCGGCGTCAGGCTTGTAGATGTAATGTGCGAGTGATGCCAGTTTGTCATTGGAAACCTTGATTTTTACAGAATAGTTTCAAAAGTATGAAAATTAGGTCAAGAATCGTCTTCACGATTGAAATATAATTACAGATCAATTAGCAATCTTTTATTATAGTAAAGTGAACGTACTCATTATGATATACGTATTACTATCATCTTGGATTGAGTATTGACATTGCATAGCGCCTAGTACTATGAGATCACTGACCGTTTTCTTATTTATTTTGATGTTTGTTCTTATATTCTCGTAGCATGCTCCACGTGCGATTTTTGCATCGCTCTCTAAGGTTAAATATAATTTCTTTGCAGCCTCTTTCTTCGCTTCCTTTTTACTCCCAGCGCGGCCATATTCATTAAAGGTTCGGTTACTAATAACGATAGTTGCTTTAACAATAAAGGCAGTTGGATTGGAGCCTTGAGATTTTTCTTCTCCGAAATCGTCGTATTGCGGCATAATCCAGCGCCGATTAACAGCTAAAGCTTGCAATTTACTGATATAGTCAGTCGATTCCGCAGGACAAGTAGCACTGCCACCAGGAAGAGAATTCTCCTCCTGTGAGTTGTTTTCTTCCGTGGATAACATTTGTTCAAATGAGGCTGGATTAATTTTTTGATCGTTTAGGAAATTTTCGATCACACCAGCAACAGCCGATTGCCGTAATTTTATCAATGCGTCCACGGCAGCATGAACTTTTGCGGTGCGCTTGTTGGAACCTTCCCCTTTCCCGTAGGCATACTCTCCAAAGCGAAAACTACCGAGAAATTTAGGGTTATTTTTGGACGATGAGTTATGCAATGGTGCGCAATCGAAAGTTAAATGAACATGTAATGTTTGACTGAGCATATATAAAATGGATACCGGATTAACATTCATGATGGCTATGGACTACTGTCGGCAAGGAGAAAATCGTAGACAAGCCGTAAACAGTCCCGTACTACTGTCTGCTATGCGTACACAAGAGAACGGTATCCACTATATATTCCTATACAGCATACAGTACTATATTACAAGGATACTGTACTGTATTTGGAGACCAATATACTCTGCATAAAAATGGAGATTTTTTTTTCTGGTCTGCACACTGCAGACGCTAGTCTATCATTAATAAATGTGTATATCAGGATCTTCATGACTCCACAGCGTTTTATACTCGAGTTTGCATCCATAAATAATTAATTTTCCAGAATTTAGAATATGGATAGACGTGAAAAGATCTCCGTGACTCCTGGACAGCGTTTGCACTCGAGTTTGTATCCATAACTAATTTTCTACAATTTAGAATGTAGACGTGAAAAGATCTCCATGACTCCTGGACAGCGTTGGCACTATAGTTGTGCTCGAGTTTACATCGTCAAGTACAGTAACGTTTTGGAATTTTTTTAATATGCTGGTGAGAGGATCTCCTTGGCTCCACAGAGTTTCCATGGGAGCTTGTATCCGTAAAGTAATTTTCTGGAATTTTAGAATGTGCACGTGAAGGGATCTCCATGACACAGCGTTTGCACTAGGAGTTGTGTGGAGTCCGCAGCGATTACACGCCAGCTTACATCCACAACTAATTTTCTAGAATTTAGAATATAGACGTGAAAAGATCTCCATGACTCCTGGACAGCGTTTGCACTATAGTTTGTACTCGAGTTTACATCGTGAAGTACTATAAAGTAATGTTTGGGAATTTTTTAAAATATGCAGGTGATAGGATCCCCTTGACTCCACAGTGTTTCCACTGGAGCTTGTATCCATAAAATAATTTGATAATTTTCTGGAATTTTAGAATGTGAACGTGAAGGAATCTCTATGACACAGCCTTTGCACTAGGAGTTGTGTGGAGTTCGCAGCGATTACACGCCAGCTTGCATCCATAAAATAATTTCCTATAGTCTACCTTGTTAAAAGCTTGATTGGGTGGGTTTACAGTTCATTTGCTTTGACTCTATCTTTAGAATCAATCAGATTGAAATCATTAGATCGATAAAAAATATTTCTTGATTTAAAATGATAGAATTTACAGTGATGATAAAGAACGATTTATGCTAATAGGTTTACATGATCAACGATTAGAGATGTTCATGGTCTGGTGATGTTCGATGTAGCCATTGAACCGTAAATGGGAGAATACCAACTTTCATGTAGAGATTTTATTTTCGGCTCCTGAAATCCTGTAATATGCATTCCTTGGAATGCACTATCTCTACTAGTCATGCTAATATTTCTGAGAATGTTTATAGAGGCTGATAAAGAATTTCGCTACTTTACCGGAAGAAACTGTCCGTACACAGTTTGTTCGACGAATATGTGCTACTGTATGTGCCCGCTAGTCCCAAAATTAATTCCAAAATTATGAGATATTAATTATTATTTAACAATTTGTAAGACCTCATCATTTATTGGATTAATTCCAATTTATTTTATTATGTAAAATAATAATAATAAAGTTGTTTTATATGGATGACTAGCTATCATTATACTGTACTGTAATTATTCATGATTCCTGCGCTTCCCTGTCTTGCCTCGATTTGGTTTACAGTAGAGTAGAGTTCATCCTTACTAATTCTATCTTTGATTTTAAAAATCAATTATATTTCGAATCATGAAATATTGGACGGATAAAAAAATGCTAAATTGGTTTAAAATGATTTGGTGTTCATACAGGTTTGAACGATGAGAATAGTACTGTTGTTCGATGTAGCTCTTCACTGTAAATCGGAAAATAGCAAGTATGCAGTAGCTAAAGGCGTTTCATGTACTAATTTTGAAAATGTGGCCTCCGAAATCCTCCAACATGCGTTCCTTGGGATGCATTGATGGATGGAAAATTAATGAATGGTCTCTCATACCATTTCTTCATCATAACACAGCTATGCTAGGTGTCAGATAAGACTACGGAAAATCAATTACTGTTCATGTTAACTTGCTATGCTGTGAAAGAGAATTTTACGCAGGACTCGACACCATAGACTAAAAGAAAATGCAGCTTTTCCTCTATTTCTAGTAGTCCATGTTCCTACATATATCGCCATAACAATTGTACCTCATTGTGTGTTGAAAGGAAAGATCGACTATAATTACTGTAAGTTGTCCATTGTTGGCTATTTAGTCATTCTATCTCGCGGTAAAAGTGTAAAATGACTAAAAGATGAAAGAGATTAGGAAAATTAGTATCTAAAAAAGAAAATATTAAGTAAAGAAAAGTAGATAGTGTATCAGTATCCTGGGTCAATCACGCTTTCTCCATAATAATTTTTTTTATAAATTTATTCTTTTGCAATTACGTCATGGAATCGATGGATGATCACAACAACGCCATGTCCTATTACAAATGTAATAAAAACATGGCTGATCATGCCGCTGATGACCAATCAATCATCTTGCTCGTTGATTATTATTCTTCATCAATTTTGATTGAGTTCATTTGGAGACATTTGTACCAGTAAATAAGAAGTATGGGTGTTGACAAATGGCCCGCTATGTACATACATAGCGGGCCATTCATCTTTTGTCTTGGTTTATTTATTCACGATTCGCCAAGAGAACGCAATGGCGCTGGGATAATAATTAAGACAATAATGTAGTGGGTATTGTAAATTATTAAATCGTTGCTAATCATGCTGGCGAGGAAATACAACTGTCCTATACATGCATCTTATGCATAGAGCCAAGTATTGAAGGATGTTGCTAGGCAGTATGAATACTAGAGATCATTAAAAGACTTTAGTTTTACAATGAGTAGGCCCTGATTGTTACCCAAGACAACCCATTGGTTACTACGATATCCAGATTGAACATAAATAGCAGATTACATTAGATCATCAAATCAAAAGACAAAAAACTATATCTACATCCTACCCACCATCTCGTCAAAATGCCGTCTCCTGCCAAAACTTCTGCCGGCCACAAGTGCCTAACAATTTTACTTCATCTCTTCAACTTTATTTTATGGGTAAGACGAATGGATCTCTTTTGAACTCAAGCACTTTATTGTCATAGCTAGATGATATTGATTTGGATAATCATCCATTCTTTTCCAAGTTCGAAATCTTACAGTCAGACGAACCAAATGATAATTGATAAAATGAGCCATAACACTGTATTGGTTGTATAACCAAGAAGGACTGTACAATACTTGATATAACAATATGGCAATCATCACTGTCTTCCTTTTGACTAGTTCTTTTATTAACCTAAATGACTACCCTAGTTATGTGGATTTTGAGGAGAAAATGATGCTTCAAAAGCTATACCATGCTCGTACGATGAATTATATTAATAATTAGACAAGCGATAGATAAAATTCATCATTTATTTTGCGTTTATTAAGAACTACATTATCGTCTACTGTCATGTCCAGTCAGTCATGGCGTAGGTTAGCGATAGATTATCAGTATACCCTAACATAATAATGGACGAGTTTTTATATTCCTATCCAAGCATACAATTGTGACAATACTAAAGAATATTGGTAGCTATAGTGGCAGTACTTGTATAGTGCTACCATCGTATTAAGAAAGCTACAAAAAAACACAGGACTCGCTTCGGGTTTACAAGTCCGCGCCCTTTAAACACAAAAATCAAGTAGCTCAAGTCTATTTGATTAAATAGATTGATCAATGTCATTTCTGACGATAAAAAGTACTGCTGTCTAGATCAGTTGTGACTCATCCATCGTTGATCGATTTACTTTCCATTCTATGAGCAATAGTTGATTTATTTTCGCTAGGGCTTCGGTCTTACATTAACCACCCTTATGTCATTCTTTTGTCTGGCAACTGAAATTTTGATTCTGAACTCTAAATTGCTCTAAAAATTATGCCCATCATTATTCACAGCTATGGATGTAAGAGAGATACATCAATTTTTAATAACTACTTCGTTAATGATCGAATTCTCGTATAGTGATAATAATAATATCGCTGATTTTTTTCTAACCAGAACGTTCACTAATACAGTACAATCATGGATTAGTAAAAGCTACAGAGTGATTTACCATGGTACAATGCATTAAAGTGTATTAACCCATACCATAAATGAAGATCGACAATGACACATCATATCAACTGAAAAGGACCATGATGGACGTTTTCTTGCGTTTGGACTTTCTTCTACGACACGAGTACTGCATGCATTAGATATTAACTATATTATTTACTAGGCCCAACTCGGCGGCTTATTTTGGAACGTATTGCACAGTATTAATATACGTATATGCAATAATTTAACATTCCTTGTCCACTTACCAATAATATTTTCTGATCTATCAAAGGAAAAAAACCCTTTTCATACATTTCATAATGCGATTTAATGAGACTAGATTTAGAGGCATGACTAGTAATAATCCTTGACTTTATATTTATACCCTATAAGTAACACCTCCCAATATCCAAATGTAAATGATTCAATGCCACCTGCAGTACTGAAGTTTTCTCATTTTGGCTCCTACCTATCTACTTACAGTAATATTGAATAGTACATATTTTATTAGCGCCAACACTTTTACTTCGGAGTGATCTTTCCAGCACAAAAAATGATTTGTATATTAAAAATTTTACCCTGTCTTTGGTTTTGACTTTGGGGGATCATAGAATGTACTTTAAAACTTGAGTAGAGTAATTTCCTAATTTTACCATATACCATCTACTAAAACATGTTAGCACTACCTACAGTAGGCACTGGTGTATCCGAAGATTTTTAATATACATGAATACTGTATACAGTACAGTAAAAGATTGCCAAGCTGATCGTCAGTTTATGAATCTTAAAGCCCTTTCATTAAGATATGGTGTACGCGTATAGCCCCTGATATTGGTCTTAAACTTTCGCATTATTGATGTAAATTTTCGGAGAAAGTTTTTATGCTTACACCATTAAACTACCGCTAGATTTCCTCATTCCGATGAAGACTAGCTCGGTATTACAGTACATCTGCTCATGAGTATAGTAAATTCCAAATTGATTAACTACGATCAGCATATTATATAATATACTCTCCGAGCTCCAATGGTGTTTGATTGTTTATTTACAATTTGAAATTAGCCGACAAGCAATTGGCAATAAGGATGTATTATTGAAATAGTAACGTTTTTTTTTCACAATTCATTTTTATTTCTCAATTTATACCCTTGAGAGGGATAAAATAAAATTGCTTCTTATTGCTCCTATTCATAAGGGTTAAATGTATGTAGCGTACAAGTTGGTTAGCATTTGCAATGGATATCTGAATAGAGCTACGCTTCCATATTATAGCTGATATCCATAGGTCGAACAACAGCCTTATTGACCTACAGTAGCATTTATAGTATCTGATACATTGAGCACGAATCTTAAGGCCTGCGGTACGTACATATTATAATAATTTCCTTCAAGTACCATAGATGGAGTGGCACATTATCAAAGTTGATCATGTACAATCTCTATTTCGTCACAAGGCTTTCCGCTACAGCTATATAGAACGATTGACTAGTTGCGATATAAAAGATGTTGGGTAAAATCTGTACCTTATGAACAGTAAATAAATAAATTATATGATCAGTGTGATGTGCTCTGTAAATAAAATTAATAGGTGTAGTTTAGTTCTTCCTAAGCAATTACTAACAAAACAATATCCTTCACCGTGACCCTATGACATAAAGTATAGGGTGAAATCAAAGTTGTACCTGGATTTTATGACAGCATAAATCGATCATTTCTTGTACTAACTGAATCCTATAACGTTACTTTTATAGATAAGTGGTGTAGCAATTTTGGCTGCGTCAATATGGGGTTTGATCGCTTTTGGTCCTTACATGAAATTAGATAACCAACATAGCTTTTCTGCGCTCTACATTTTACTGGGAGTTGGTATCCTTATCGTTTTAATTGGCTTCGTAGGATGCTATGGCGCCATGAAGGGTAGTCGATGCCTTCTTGGAATTGTAAGCTATAAGGCTGCTAATGATAGATACTTCATTATCAACAATTATACTAGATTATTTCTCATGTTCAATCAATTTTTATAAATATTTAGTATTCAGTAATCTTGATTGTGATTGTCCTGGCCGAAATTACACTTGGTATCATTGCTTTCGTTTTCAAGGGTGACGTAAGTTTTAAAATTGGAATAAGAACTAAAGACATAGTATTATAGATAACTTTAAAATGAATATTGATACCTTGCAACACAGCTCATGATCCAAACGGTAGCATCGATAACAAAACGCTTATTCTTGATTTAAAATTGCTCAATCCGAATAATTCCAGCTGTTTAATTTTCTAGTGATGTACTTAAGACAGTAATTGGCTATTCCTTATACTCTGTAACAAATTTTCCTTAGAATATAAGGATACTATTATGGATCTAATTTCGATTTTTGGTAATCATAAACTTCTCTTTGTAGTTTGAAGCTGGCTTAGCTGTCACCATGAAACCATTCTTACAAAAGTATGACACAGATGTAGGCATCAAGCATATCGTAGACGGAGTACAACAGAATGTAAGAGATTATGTAGTGAATAGTATGCGTGGATAAATACAATATTTGTTTTCGTAAAGCTATAGTCATTTAATATCTACAATTTTGATCGTTATCATGCTATTCAGTTGGAATGCTGTGGTGCACAGAACTATACGCAATGGTTCAATACTTCTTGGGCAAGTAAGCAGAAATATCGGGATTCTGTACCCAGTAGTTGCTGCCCGAAAACCTTTTTTACTTCTGGAACCAAACCAAATAACTCCACTGGTCTTTGTAATAATCTTCACTTAACCTACAATACTGGAAATTATCAATATCCATCAGGAATCAAAATCAGTCAGAGCGTAAGTTACTTTTAACATGTTGACTATCAACTAACTGCGAATCTATCCTTGATTTTTGTGCAACTGGGTAACTTGATTGATACACTATATAATGAATATTCTCATTTGCAGGCATGTTCAGGCGCTGTCATCAAATTTCTTGAATCGCACTTGGGAATTGTTGCTGGAATTGCTGTAGCAATTGGAGTATTTCAAGTACGTATCATTATTAGATTATTTCTTTATTATTGTACGGTAATCTAATTTTATGCTTAAATTTGTGCTAGATAATTGGTGTAGTACTTGCCTGCTGCTTAGTATGCAATAATGACTCTGCTAAATACGAAATGATGTAATCCATTGGTGGATCCTTTTATTAAGCCCTATCAGGCCGAAATTCCCTCTAACATTTCTTCTAGAGCAGACCATTGATCTCTTTATTCAATATATACAAGTCTATAATCGTAGAATAAGATCATTATCATTATGAATTGAATCCCTCAGTAGTAAATTCTTAACAATTATTTACAGTTAAAATATCATATATTTAAATTGATTCGTCTTAGATATACTCTAGACTATAGCTAGAATCGTTGTAATTTAGTGTAATTGTTATTCATTGTTCCAATAGAATGGAATTACGTTAGATAAAAATTTTACCTTGCAAATACAGAATTGGTATACCATCAATATAGAGATTGAATATAATGGCACGTGCACTTGTGTGTCTTGTCAACATAGAAATACTCGCAGTACCTTAAATGTCTTCTAGTCTATGCTTTGTAGCTAGTAGGTAGGTTTCAATGTCAGGCTCGAATAAAATGCTTTAAATATTTCCTAGTCTAATATTTGCTTTTGATTGTACTGAACAATACTGCAGGGTGACGAGCAAAAAGATGCAATAGTCGATTTACTTGACTACGTCAATTTAGTCTAATTTGTGGGGAGTGTCTGTAAGGCAATTTGAAATTTTAGACCCCTATAAATAAAACTGGGTAGCTTTCGACGGTTGCAACGCTAATCACCGTAATTGGTCGTGATAGCTTAGTACCTAATTTTTATCATAAATTTTCTATACTTGTTTTAGAACTAGCGACTATCAATATTATTATTTGAATTTATAGTTTATGACGAAATGTACGTACCGACAGGATCTTTACTGAGATTTTTAATATACTTGTGTGGCCCATGCTATTATCGCTTCTAGTATTGTTACGACTACGAGTATGACGCGTTTTTAGTAGCCTTGGTATAAGGCAAGAGATAATATAGCAGCCTTTCAAAAAAAAACAATTTTGTTCTATAGAGAGCTCTTGGTAACCTAAATAATTCTTGATTTGAATTTATGCAAAGTTTAATAGGCTTCCTAATTTTGAAACTTGATGCTGAAGAGTTTTAATTGACACAATAATCAACTTCTACAAGCGCTGGCTAGATTATTTCGATATTAAGAATTTAGTTCGTATCATAATAGTCTGTTTCGTCCAAGTGGGATAGAACTTACTGAAATCCTATCTCGTAAATTTATAGTTAGACCAATAGCTAGTAAGGGCACCGGACGTTTTAGGGACCAAAATTATGTTAGTACAATATACTCATATTAAAAGAGCGGGCAATGGCGTCTACCGCAGTTATGGCAGTTTTTGCACCTGCCAAGGTTATTGACTATTGGTCTAGGCTACTACTGTACCAATAATACTGTAGTATAATCCATAATTCAACAATATGGCGACGTTAAATCAATTTACAATCTAAAGCATAAAATTCTGTATTAATTTATTATCAATCAATCAACACTAGGCCATTTTTACTTCTATGGCAAATGTAGTAATCAGACTACCATACAATATACTACTCATGCCTTTACTGCAAAAACGATTTAAATTTGCAGGTATCTACTGGCAGTAATACTGTAGTATAATCCATAATTCAACAATATGGCGACGTTAAATTAATTTATAATCTAAAACATGAAATTCTGCATTAATTTATTATCAATCAACACTAGGTCATTTTTACTTCTATGATGAATGTAGTAACCAGACTACCATACAATATACTGCTCTTGCGTTTACTGCAAAAACGATTTAAATTTGCAGGTGTCTATGTTGTCTGCTAATCGCTAGCTGGATCTAGAGGAATTTTTTACTTTACTGTAGACATAAGAGACACTATTAAATTAGCATTGATTATAAAATAATAGAATGAGAGTATAAATTATACGTTATTAGGTAGAGAAATCATATTATATCTAGGGTATAATTTATTTATACTATAGTTTATAACCTACTTTATAACCTATAAGGCAACTCGTAAGGTACAGTATCACTTTCTCATGCTTCTACCCTTGCTGAAGTGTTTATACGCAGTACTGTATAGGTACGCAAACACGTAAAACTGTAGTATGTATACTATCAGCGCTACAGTAAACCTACGCTAACTCGTCTCCTTAACTAACATGAAATGGGGCTATACTGTATAGTGTATAGTACGTGACTTGAGTCCCGATACAAAATCGTTGTATACGGACTGATTGCTTTGAGTTGATAGAAAACTCCGTAGTCGGACCGGTTCAGCACTAGTAGACCTTCCGACAAGACTTCCCCTCCTTAACTTTAATGGATGTTGACCAACTCCATTAGAAATTATTGATGGATTCTATTATTAAAGAAGGCGAGACAGTATTTCATCTTTTCATCCCTAAAAGTATTAGTCAAGTAGTGGATAATGATCTAGCTAAGGGAACTCGTTCAACTGTTTGGCATGGAGAAAATTGTGTGGTCTATTTACTTGCTCGTTTTCGAGGCTATCGTCATGGCGATGCTCATCAAATTTGGCAAAGTAAAATTTGCCAGTTATCTGCTATTTGCAGTGTTACACCCAAGGAGTTATTCCAGCAATCGGATTATAAAAGCAATAGTAAGCAAGGTCAAGAGAATTATCGACAATGCAAATCAGTGATATTTACTAGTAGCAGGGATGTGACAAACTATTCCGATAGCAAATGCAAGGTAACAACTCAAGAATGGAATCACGAATAGCATGTATTTAATAGTCAATACAGTATGTTATGCTACAGTTATTATAGCTAACGTGTAAGTTGAACCCCATTTAGGACGCTAAAATAAATATATTACTCTTATTCAACAGCCTTCGAAACCTATAGTTTGTAAAGATGGTGATGTTGCGTTTCCGCTAACTGTTTCCTTGGCTAGTTTACACGTCGATACATGTCGAGCTCAAGTCACCGTTTCCTTGTGGTCTCCAGAACTGGATTACCTCGCTGATTGCCAGCTGCTATCGCAAGATTGGAAGGATCCATCAAATTTTGATTTCGCTCGCACTTTTATCGATGATTCTCCTATTCCAGTAATGCAGCACTTAACATCAGCTAAAAAATATCAAGGTATAGTGACTGCGTTTGTCTTACTACCTCATGATGAGATGATCAGTTTCTGTACGATAGACATCAATATTTTTCTGCCATAGAAGCATGTTAATTGATCGTTAATTGAAGAAAAAAATTAGAAGTACACTTGTAATATAAGGATGTTGACACTAATAATGTATACACTTTACCTCTTAAAAAGGACAACTGTGCTTAATGTTTAATTCGCATATCCAATAACTTGATTATGCTGTCTTACCTATAGTTAACAAGATCATTTCTATTAATCCATCACCGAACCTTTTATACCGATTTACTAAAGCTGGTGCCAAGTACTACTTATGTCTACAAGGTGAGATAGTTAATTTTTGGAAAAATTCTATTATTATAGTTGATGACAAATTCATAACTGGAATATCCTATATTAACAAGTTTTTGATGCAATTTGCTAACTAGTAAACTTGCTTACGCTTTCTTCTACCCAGTACAAAATAAAAGTGAAAACGTAATAGTTCTAGATCATATGCAAGTCTTCTCTGGCCACATCAACAATAGTAACCAAAGCGAAAAGTATGAATATTTCATTTATATAGGATAGTATAATATCTTTAAACCAGTTAGGAACTACTATTTCGTCAATACCTAACGACGATTCTAGATTGCAATAATGATTTTAATCATTTATTAAATTAGCATAATGGAAGCGTTAGCTGGAATAGAAGCTCACTTAGTACCTGTCACTGAAAATGAAAACGAAGAATTTCCAGTTATTTTGCAACCAATAGAATCGCATACTTTTCTATATGATGTCACATTAACAGATTCCAAGATGGAGCTTGAAGTAATTTTTAGTTTTCTTTCATAACTATGTACTGTACATAGTTTAAGGAATGTCTATCTGTTAATAGTTAATACATCCGACAGTATTAGTTTACATTAAATACTTTACTTTTTCTTCAAGTTACCCCAATTATCGCTAATGGCTTCACTGGTATGGAGTGCTGAACCAATGATAACTCAATTTGAAAATATAACCACTACTTTTAGGTATCATGAGAAATCTTAAGATCTATCTTTATCTTTGCTACTTTTTGATAACCATTTATCTGATTGCACGTATTACACCGAAAAGGCATTTATATTTCTTGTTCTTTAATTCTAAAAATTTGGTATTTTATGTTTCTGTAGATTATTCGAAATGGCTATAGATCGTGCTTTGGTTACAACATCTTCAGTGTTAGATAGCACTCATGTTTCTATTGGTGATAGGTAATATATGTAAACTACTGCAATCTAGATGCTACGCTATAACAATGCACGATGCAACGCTTATAAACGAACCGTGCTTATTTGTTGTCAGAACAGCGCGATTTAGATTAAACGACAAATTTGTATTCCTTATTGTAGATTCAGTATATTGTATACAATCAATAACGGAAAGGACGAGCTTAAAGATGTATCTGTAAAGTGGGAGCCGGAATCTCTAACTACTGGTAGGATTATCATGATAGATTTGTGAAAAAATAGAATTGTCATGAGAATCGTCATAACTGCGTAATGCGTGATTGATATTCGTATTAGGTGTCAACAATATCATAGCTCCAGCTAGAGTTTTATTAGGAAATAGCCATTCTTATGATATTGTATGTTTAACATCATCGATATATATAGGGTATGCGAATGTTGCATTTTATTTCATCTGTGTTGCTTAGATGCCGACCGTATTAATATCGAAGAACTGACTTGTTATTGATATTCGTATTCTAGTATTGTACCTAGCTGGTCTTCGGTAACTGTTAGTATTGATTGTCTCGCGATGAAGGCAGGCGTTCACGAGGTGAACAATTATAATATCATATGAACTAGTCTCTAAAAATTCCAACTAATTTCCGATGAAAGAATCTAATTATACCGTATGTTTATAATAAACCTGTATTATAGGTTGGTAGATGTATCAAGCTACAGCATGCTGGCTCTTCAAATAAAGAAAAGGCGAACCATGTACTCGATTTATTGCATCAACCATGCCAAATTTATGTCCTTTCACCTAATGCTACTGCATCAGCCCCGGTCGTAAAAACCGATACGCCTAAAATAAACCGCCAGTGGTCGCGGGAGAGTTCAACTAGTAACTATAGTCTGTACGGTTTCGGAGAATATTTAAAAAACAGGAGAAAAAATGAAAGCCTTACAAATATTGCAGGGGAGTACAAAAACAACGAAACAGAATCGCACACTAGCAATGATGAGACGCCATTATCTACGGCTCTAACGCCTATTGAAACCAATGATGAAGATCAAATTAGTGAGAGTTCGTCCATTGAATCTAAAGATGTAATTAATGAATCTACTGAAATTAAAATTAGTGTACCAGAAAGTGTTACAGATGAAGTAAATGGTCTTACTGGTGGTGTCTCAAAATCGGTTGATGAAAATGCGACAGAAACTAGTAATTAATTAGAAAAATGAAAGCAATTATATTACTGTTATGGTTGTTGTAGCTCGGGTGAATTTTTACGATTCATGTTGTATATTATTACAAATGTAAATACGTTTTTTGTATTCCTTGTATCATACAATGTTGTGTTAATTTATCAAAGAATAAATGTTGTTAAACTTTCAACATTCATATGGAAATTTTATATACTGAATGCGTAGCGAACATAGCGTCTTATTATCCATGTACAATATTGCAGTTTTTATAGCTTAAATTTTCTCTTTCTAATGTATTCGGAATAGCTATGTGGGAAAGAAATGAAGTAATATCATCGTTAAATCTACTGTATAAGATACTTCTGTGCTTGACCTGAATAATTGTGATGTTTTGAGTAATATTCTGCAGCATCTCAAAAGAATTTACCAATTTCATCAAGTTGGGTGTTAGTAGCATAGTGGATTAACATCATTCAGTGTTAAAGGTAGATGCGCTATGTCTTAGCAAGCAATACAGTGATATCTGATAAGTTTAATCTTAACGTTGGTACATGCATCAAATGTAATGTAACAATATACAATTTGCTTAATGCTCATTCGAGTGTAGTTGAACATATATCAGAGCTTTACACTTAAATCTAAATTTGTTCTAAATAGCTTCTACGAAGTAAATATACTGCCATCGGCAGGGTTTTGAGGCTATCGTGATATAAAGTATTAGAATATAGTATTACGTTAACCACCTCTCAATAGGCACTTAATCGTTGCTTGTTTACATGAATATGGCAGTAGCTCGCTTCTATCATGATCCTTGTCAACTGGAAAAACATCAATTTTTAAGTGCCTGTACTCCAACATGCATCCGAATTCTAGTGTATATCCCTACGTGAGAATAAAGTATGCTAGAAGGATTGCAGAGTACTTTTCCTTGACAAAGCTTTTGCTAAAATAGTTTATTCCTGTCGCTAGAGATTAAATTTACAGCGATTTTGATTTTATTCACATTATGCTTTACTAACATATCCATTGCGTAAGTATTTAAATTGTCTCCATTCCTTTTTAAATATTTCATCGCCATCATCAATTATTGGTTGACAATCTTGCCGTTCCTTATCATAACGATATGCTAACTGATATAATTTTTTAATTAATTGCTTATATCTTTCTTGCATGGGAACGTTTTGCAATCCGGACCAACTTTGATAACCTTTTTCGATAATGATATTCAATATGGAATCATTTAGCTCAGGTTGTAATTGTGCGTCATTTTTAAATAACAAGTCTAAACATTGATAATATTTCATTGATTTAACCACTATTTCAATATCTATGTGGGAGTCCGTTAAGTAAGCACATAATAAATTAATGTCATCAGAAGGTAACATCTGAATAATATTTTTACCATATTTTAACGGATTATTTTCTAATAACAGATACAGAGGGGATTTGGTTTTTTCAATTTTGATACCACCTTTAGTGATGTAGGTATAACGATTTCTTAAATTGACCTTGCCACCGGCTTGAAGTAATATTCGTAAGCATTCTAGATCCGATCTTTCAACTGCAATAGATATTGCTGATATGGATTCACTTTTATTGTCTAATTGTGATCGTCGTGGTATATTAGCACTAAAAATGGTTAATAATAATTTCACACAATCAGCGTGGCCTTGTTGAGTTGCGATAATTAATGGCGAATAATTGTTACTTGCAATAACGATTTCTTCATTCTTTAATAATAATTCAATTCCATAATGGAAGTTATATCTAGCTGCAATTTGTAATGGATTGAAGGGTAATTGATACCGACTATGATCATCGTCTTGATAAGTTTGCAATAGCATAGTTTGATATCGATTTACAAATAGATTGAAACATTTTTTACTTTTCCATAAAATAGCGACATAAAGTGGATGAGATAAAGGTGATGAATCTACCACCATCATCGTTTGTTGGCAGTTATTTTCTAGTAATAGTTGAACAATTTCAACGTAATCTAATATAATAGCCCAAAATAAGGGCGTACATTTACCATCATCAATTAATATATTCCAATTTGTATGATTATCTGTACATAAACACTTTTTAGTGCTTTCGAGATCACCTTTCATGACCACCTTATGGATTTTAGGTAGAATATTAATTGAATCAAAACATGTTTGAATTAAAATTTTTAAGCATTCCATTTGATACTCAAAAGCAGCTAAATGAAAAAATGTTACATCACCAAAAAGCAAGTTTTTACCTACTTTATTTACTGATATACCATTAGTTAATAACATTCGAACACAATGAACATGGCCACGTCGAATACAAATACCTAATGGACTTTGTTTAATACTGTAGTTAAACGAATCGATTTCTATACCATTATCAATGAGACGTTGTGCCCACTTTTCAAATCCTTCTATCAGGGCCACTTTAAAAAATTTCTGTAATCTAATTTTACTAAGTTGTTGAACTCTTTCTGTTAATCGTAGGAAATATTTATATTGGCAATCATCGTTAATATCGTATAAATCAACACTATCATCATGATACCATTGAATTGGATTACTCGATGAGCATTCCACTTTGCGCCTTCTTTTGCGAGCATAGAGGATTTTCCCTTCATGGTAATAATCACGATCACTTTGCCATAGAAATTTATTGGGCCATTCGGTCAATTCTAATTGAATTTTAGAAATATAATCAATTTCCATCGTCCGTACGCCTAATTTTTTTTTAACTTGATATACCTTGCATCAATGTTAGTTAATAAAGCCGTAAACGATTACTACGATCGATATAAGAAGGTAAATTAGCTTTCAATAGAGTAAATTAAATTGAAAAAGGAAGGGCGTTTAACTAAGATCCCGTCAAATTAGAAACGATGATAGTAATATTACTGTTTTTATTGGTCTTTTATTTTGAACTCACTGGCTCACTAGCTAACTAACTAACTAACTAGACAGAAAATAAGATTCAACAGATAGGTGTTCGCATAGGCTTTATTCAACATCGTTATTGTTAAGGCTAGAAGTTTAATTTGAAGTTATTGTTTTATTGTCAAACTTGATTATCCACTTTTTGACAAACAGTATTCTTCCATGCAATGGATAAAATTGTTTTCATTGTCATCTTCGAACATAGAAAAATTACCTAGCAGCTACTTGTCTAGTCGTTTCCTTGTTTAACCCCTCCCTGTTACTATAGCAATTAAGCAGATGGCATTTTATTTTATTTTACAGCAGGACAATATGCTCACGTTACCTAATAACAAGGTGGTGCTTGCTTTAATTAATAAGGTCGAAAAATTGGAAAAAAATACCATCTACTACCATTGCTATGATCGTCAAGGAAGAGCAATGAGTTATTTTACGTCAAGTCATAAGTTAACGATCGATTAGGTAACTATTGGAATAGCTACCATTCGTTTATATCTTTTTTTCTTGCTTTTTCCTATTTCCTTGAAAGGATAAAGTGATGTAAAAACTTATTGCATAATCATTTACATCATAAAGCGATACTTTATTATCGTTTGATATAGAAGGATATTAGCTCATGCAGTGTACTAGACATGATATAGTAAAACAGCGACATGATGTTGCACAATTATTTACTACTGTACAAGTTATACATGCACTATCATAGTAGTTTAATTAATACCATAACGGAGAGGGTGCCAATCCAGTAATAAGCTAATATATCTCACTATGGTATTGCTAAGATTGGATAATTATGAACGCGCAAATCGATTTGAAATATATACTGATTGATTTTAAATTTTTAGTTGCTAGTCTGAGTAAAAATAAGTTATGATAGACTTGGAGCTAGAGCAATAGTCCTCATAAATTACTATGTTAGGAACAAAGGTACAGTATAAGAAAGCTATTATTATTTATTGGTGTTATTCACTTCTACTCATCTTTTTATTGAATAGAATAACCCAAAGTATTGCTAGCAACGCCATGCGCGGATTGATTTTCAATGCAATTCTTAGTCATTGGTCTGAGTAAAAGGAAGCTATGGAAGACTTTGAGCTAGAGCAATAGTCCTCATAAATGACTATGTTAGTGATGAACAGAGATTGAGAAATTACTATTATTCAATTCTATCCATCTTTTATTGAATTTAATTAACCCAAAGAGGTGCCAGCAACTCTATGGGCTGATTGATTTTCAATTCAATTCTTAGTCATTGGTTTGAGTAAAAGCTAGCAACTCCATGGAGTAATTGATTTTCAATTCAATTCTTAGTCATTAGTTTGAGTAAAAGTAAGTTATGATACACTTTGAGCTGGAGCAATAATCCTGATCAGTGACTAAGTTAGTTATAAATAGAGTTAACGAAAGCCTTCATTGCTGTTATTCAGTTATATCTACATTTAATTAAGAAATCGAATAGCCCAAAGAATTGTAGTAATTCCATGCACAGATTGATTTTCAATCTAATTCTTAGTTATATTTTCTTAGGTGAAAGTAAGCAACAGCAGATGTTGAGGTGGAGTAATAACATAATAATTTACCCTCTTAGGTTATAGCAAGGGGGTAAAAAAAATTTTATTGCCATGTATTCTATTTGGATGCAAAATTTTATTGGAAAATAAATTAACGGAAAACATTCCAGGAGCTAGTACAGAATCATATTATATTTGTACACTATCATTCTTACAATTGCTCTCTATTTATAATCAATCATATATACGATAATATTTGAAATACCTACTGAATCACATACTAGATTAATCATCACACAGTAATTTTTTCTCAATCATCTTTCCAAATAATAAATAAAAAAATGGATAATTAAGCAGGAATAGTCGTCCACCATCATGGATGAATTAGAAAGAGGAATCGTCTTTGAAATAATTATTGTACAGTACAACAAGTGGGTTTACATTTAGTTGAGCTATCTGAACCACTACCAATTTCTTTAGCGATATCAACAAATATATCTACAACATTTTGCGTTGTCTTAGCTGATGTTTCACGAAATGGACAACGCCATTCTTTGGATAATATTATACCATCTTCATACGAGACAATTCTTTCATCACTTCGATCGCATTTATTGCCAACAATCACGATAGGAACATTTTCATCTCTCATACGTAAAATTTGCTGTCTTAGGGCTTGAATATGTTCAAATGTATCACCATTGACAATCGAATAGACTAGTAGAAATCCATCGCCATTCTTGATGTACAGATCTCTCATAGATGCAAACTGTTCTGTACCAGCTGTATCCAGTATTTCCAATTCAACCTCATCACCATCAACCTGTAATACTTTGCGATAGAAATCTTCAATAGTAGGATCATAGCGTTCGACAAAGTAACCAGAAACGAATTGAACTGTTATAGCACTCTAGGAAGATAGATACAGAAAAAAAGGGGAATATAAAATAGGGATATCCACGATTAATAATAAATTGAATAAAATCTTCACTGTATTGCAATATTCTGTTAGTATTCTATATTCAGCTTTAGCGTAGAAGACATCTATTGACGACATTAATTTTAATTACACAGATCGATTTTAAAATAAAATTTATTTAAAATACCTTGCCGACACCTCCAGATCCTAACACCACAATCTTGTAAGATTTCATCCTACCAGTCTTTCCGATACAACTAAAATAGAATACAGTAATGTCTAGTTTAGAAACCTCTTACAACATGCGTCTAACGAACGTCTTGAATGGAAATTTTCAAGAAAAATTCTTTTGAGTAATGACTCCTTTGATTTCCAGTATTCACTATAGTAGACTTTTATTTTTATTGGTGTACAACAATCAATTATAACATGGAAGAAATTATCGTATTTTATTCCAGTTAATCGATACGGAATATAAACTGTAAAGGACGTTTACCATTAAGACTAAAAGTGTCTAGTTAATCGGGCAGAATGATTGCAGAATCGAGAATTAACTGACCTCTGATGTAATTGCAATCAACTTGAATCATAACGGCGTATGCAATGATTCAAATTTTAATCTAATTAGCCTTGTAATACCAATTCCACGCATGAGCTTTCACATCCCATAAGTTACATATTGCTATGTACGGTAAATTATATACTAAAGTGTCGATAGAAGAGTTTCCTTTATTTGCACCTTATGAGCTATATACTATTAGCCTATAGTTCTGCATTAGTTTGTAGTGTGTAAACAGGCGTGTAACATTTCTATCAAAGAGAAGTAGTACTGTATAAACACAGCGTTGAAGCATATTGATGGGTAAGTATTTCAATATTATCATCTATGTACTCGCTACAGTAAGTGTTAACCTCACTACTAATGTTGGATAGTTATTATCAAAATTTAATAAATATTCTATTTTACACTTCTGGCAGTATCGTTTGTACTGAAATTGTACAAATGATGCGCAAGTCCTGACATGTAAAAGTTTCCCCTTTCTATAGTTTGAAGGTGCCACATCTCAAGTTACGATGGAGAATACTGCACATCTTACAGTTTGTATTCGTTAGTTCGTTTGATCCTAGATATAAACACATATATATTGCCTTATTTATATATTTGGTATTTAATGGTATATCATGAATGAAGTGATACTTTGCTATATTATACTTAACCAAATAAGTCGCTCGTTAGATTAGTACTCTATGGCTATTTTAATTACGGGAATTTTGAGGTGAACGTATCTAAAAAGTTTAACGACTAATGTAGGATTCTAGTCTTTTACAGTATGATAACATGCTACATTTTGAGCAACTTCTGCGTAAAAAAGTAAGAATAAATAAAAGACATCGCAAGAGAATAATTGTACTACGATCTAATAATCGTAACCTTGCATATTAATTTAGATATAGTCTATAGGGTAGACTTCTAAAGTAGGCTAATTAACTTTGCAATACTATAGCAATATCAAACTCTTGCAAAGTGTGAAATTTTTCTCGCAGCACTACAAGCAAAATACGGAATTTTTACCGAAGGTCATCTAACGAATCCAGCGTAGCTATTCGTCGAATTTACGTGCCTTTTAAAGGGATTGCCCAATCATATGCGACTCTGCTCTAATGCGTTTTTTTCACTGAATGATTTCGAATAAAAAAATCAAACTAACCAAAGTGTAAAATGTTCCTTGCGACATAATACGTCACTGTTAAGCAGTATGATATAGAATAAATTGATAGGATATAAAAAGTGTGAACGGTCATAACTTGGAGATGTAATGCTGCTCAGTAGTAGTCAGTGAACAGTTTTATGGCATATTTCTGAATGTAATAGATGATGCAGAACTGTTATTAAGAGTTTATCGTAAGCAAGTGTTTACATAACACATTTGTCAATGTTTTTTCACTCAACAAATGGCATTTTGGTTTCAATGTACTTGCATGATTGTAGGCAATGATTATAATATACAGTATTTACATGGAGCACTTCTTCAAGACATTTACGCGTCATATACTGTAGATTCTACGAAAGGTCATTCAACTATCTACTGTCATAACATTTACGATATAGATGGTATATAAAGTATAGATGAAGATTGCAAATAATGCACGATAACTAGTACTTTTTCACTGGCATTACATATGATAGGGCATTAGACCTAGTTACAGTCGTTGGGTTACAGCCAGCTCACCACAGCCTGTATTAAGCTAGGTTACACTACAGATTATATGATAGTGTATACCTTTTTAATTAAAGCTTATCGAAATTTGACATTGCGCAACATGCGTACATCTGGAAATAAATTATAGGAATACAAGATACTTCAAACACACGATAAGATCGCTTGACAATTATTATACATTGAATGCAAAGAAGATAGTATCAAATGTGAGTTAAAATAGTATTTCTTCGCTGATATGAAGCATTTAAATTCTTCCAAATAAAATTATTTCTAAACGATAAAGTGACAACATTTCATAACATCATAACCTTCTTGCAATTGCATTACTGACCCTTCAAGTTACAACCGATTGGCACCGTATACAGAAGCGCAGTACCGAATTTTAGAATATTTACATCATGTCATACAGTCTACGGTCAAAGCCATAACAAACTCTCATAATCAAATACTTAAAGTAGATATTAGTCTTATCAAAAGATGGTCATTTTCTTCTTCTCAGTATTGATTTTTAAACGGTACTGCAGTGACCTTTCTTTTTCCTCTAGACGAGATAAGGAAGCTGAAGTTGCTCTTAATTTATTTGTAATGCGATCTTCCATTCTTTTATCCCTATATTAACACCATAGAGTTTTTACATCAAATCGATGCAAGTCAATTTTTACGAAGTAGCGCTTCTAAAGTTACTACCTACATACTTTATAGTCTGTATGGACTGAAAATAAACAACATACATTATTTCTTAAAAATGATTACGGTAAATTCATACTTTCCAGTATGTCGACCAAGTGAAGTATTTTGAGATGAGCGTATCTTTTTTAAATTTTTAATTTCTTGTTGAACCTTTACTAACTATAAAAAAATGTGAAATTTTAATAAAGTCTGGAGGTGAATCAGAAAACAAAACTAAGTACAAGAGATAAACATTCTGGTCGTACTTCGATATTTAAATTTTTAGGATTTTGATCCTTTTCCGATTTTCTACTCCTTTTAACATCGTTTCTATGTTCAGCAACATTAGCTCCACTAACATCTACAAGAGAGAATGAGAATATACATTGTTAATGTTACGCAAAATCTACTCCAAGCACTTCAATACAACTGAGTATGCGATCTTCCATGTAAGGTAAGCTTATGCTAGTATGTATTTTGTTGGTATGCATTATGCTTGCGCAAGATTACAAGTGCAGCTCAACACAGTGTCTCCAAACTTACTGCTTAAGCGATCATTTATGAAGTCAAAAATATCAAAGGCCGTACTATCGTCATCATTTGCCTGCAGAACAATAAAATATCATAGTGATGAACGTATTTATCAAAACATAATGCGAATACGAAATCCAAACTCACTGCTTTGGACGTTTTATCACGGGATTCTCGCTGGCTTTTTAACTCTGTAATTTTTTTTTTAGTTTTGGTCTTGAATGGATTTTTTAATCGGTCCGTCTCTCGTAATTCCTTACAAGTATCAAGTGACGCTCCTAATACAGTATAATTCGATTAATCATGGACAGAAGTCAGGTCAATTATAGAGATTTAATTGAAAGAGAATTATCATGCCTTTTGGAAAAACGGATATAATAACTGGCTCAATTATTCCTTCATTTCTCTTTCCTAGGCCTTTCCTACAAGATGTAACATGATACAATATTAGTACTACTCTATACAATATTTGATGAAATCAACGGTCATCATTCATTCAGATTCTCTTCAACTCGCCCTGGAATATATCCCATCTTTGCTAAGAGCTTAGAGCCTACTCCCTAGTTAAAAAGTAGGTAAAAAATGGATAGAAATTACTTTTAATTATTAGTGATTGTTGAGGAGCGAAGAGAAAAGTGTGTGAAAATTCTCGCAAATTCAGTACCTTGGTATGATTTTCCCATTCACCTAATTTGTATTTTTCGGAAGGATTGACGGAAAGTGATATAACTCCGGTAATTTTTGATTCATTATCAGCACTGTCATCGCTATGTATATCGTAGTCACTGATATCTTCATCTTCAAGTGATGAATTTGAATCTTCAATATCTGAAAATAAAAATGGATAAATATATGACATAATGTATAATACATTTGAAATTAAAAAAGCATTCCGAAAGCTTAAAAAGCAATGTGTTACCTTCAATAGGGAGAATATCTTCAATCTTCACGATACTATCAATGCTGTATTGGTCATAATGGATGCTAATTTTCCCATCGTCAAGTATGCCTCTTTAATTATGCAAGTCGAAAATACAGTTTAATATAAAATCTTACAGTAGTTATAATATTACGAATATCTTTGGAAGTTGAACTGTACCTAATAGTTGCTCTGTACCATAGGTCATCTTTATATTTTGCTAAACACGATCCTCGTTCTTTTATTATACTATATTTAATGGAAGATAAAGGGGGATAGTTAGTTTATACATGATCCATACGGTTGATAATATCTAAGTTAGTTGGTTTTATCTTGTATTATTGGATAATATCAGCAAGTACGAATTTTTGTACCTAAAATTAGGTTCCTCAAACGATTTCATGTCAGAGATGTTTACTGGATAGCCATGACTATATCTAATCGTGAAGGTAATGACAAAGTTTTAACATCATCATCAGAAATTAATTTAGTATCATCGTATGGATAAATATTTTATAAACTGTGGATCGTAAGACGATATGAAATTACTTGCAATCTTCATCACTATAATTGCATTGGCCGTCTAAATAGAAGGGGCAGGGGCGCATTTCATGAGATATAGGATTTAGAAACATAACCTTTACCTAAGGGTGAGAAACACAGAAAACAACTTGATGTTATCGAAAGTCACAGTATGCTAAAAGAGGCTGCAGAAATTCTAGTACTGCTATTAATTTTAATTTTAAAGCTACTAACTATATCTGATTCATCTAACGAATCTGTATCAACAATAACCGCATTGCCATACTGGATTCCACCCCATGAATGTTGATACGGAGCTCTACACTTTGCTCCTACGGTATATTTCTCATTAACATGACGTCGTTGCTGTAATGTTGTGGTTTTGTTGTCATTTGATGTGGAACTTGAGGTGGTTTGGACATCGATTACTTGATCGATATAAGATATCAATTTGCTTTTCTTCAGTGACAATAAGCTACCTTGAAGCAAAATGAAGTTGTACTATTAATCTCATTTGCATCAAAAATTTACCAGGGTGCCATTATAACCATGCTTGAGCACATTTGCAAGACACAGTATTTTTACAGTAATCCCTTTTTCTATGTACAGAATATACCTTCGGTTAATTCAATTAATTGCTTCAAATCATCTTTTAATTTGCTAATATCTTCATCTTCAGATCCAGATGCAATCAACAACTCTACTTGGTTCAGCTTTAAAATGCACAGTAATCGTATATATAATTTAGATACTTAACCTTGAATGAACAAGTGATAAAAATAGAGAGTGAATCATCGACAAGCTTTCTAGTCTTCTAGCTAGAGTCATGACTCTACAGAAATTGTATACGTTAATTCGATATTTAACCTTTTAATAAACAAATGATGAAACTGGCGAGGTGCATTATGAGAGTGTACACGAATAACTAGCGATTGATTGCTGAAATTTTAGAGTATATAGTCAGTAAACGTACAATCGCTTAATCTAGATACGGCATTTAATCGCATACTGAACTAGTGACAAAGTTGGAGAAGGTGTAATACTGTATGACCGTGTACACGAATAGCCGACGATTTATCGATAAATCCTTTAGACTATTAAAGTAATTCAGTACTCTACGACACATATAATAGCGACTGCACATAAATCAGCTTAAAAATAGACAGAAATACTCGTATACGTAATCCTATTAGATAGTTAACCTTCATGAACAAGTAGCGAAAAGGCAGTAATAACGTGCACGAATAACAACCGGTTCATTGACAACTTCTTTAGTGTAGTCTCAATACGCTACGATAAGTATGATAGATTATACATGATTTAAGACGACAACAAGATTGATCATACGATAAACTTGTTACTGTATATTATAATTTTATACCTGCTGTTTAAAGTTTTCTAGGTCTTGTTTTAACTTTTCCTCATCCATTCAAATCTTCTGTTGCTGTTCTAGTGCTAAACGTCTAAAAACTGAGATATTGCTATGTAGAGCAGCATCATACTATCCAATGCAATACTATAACTCCTCAGTCTAGTACGATACAGTACAGTACAGCGGTACAATGGATACTTTAAAGGGTCGAGTATCGATTCTAGTCTGTTTCCATACAGTATACAGTGCTCATACTGACTTACAGTAGACAGCATGTTTATTTTCTTTTCAGACATAGAAAAAGGGAAAAAATATTACTGAAACTAACTAACATAGAATTACTATACTTTACACCATTATATAGCATGCAAAAACAATCGAAGCACATAGTGATAATTACTATGTACTTTGCCATCCAAAAGTTGCAAACGCAAATAAACACATCGGTATACATTACTGTATATATTTGAATTAGAATTATTCATGTCGATACTTCTGTATCACTTAATTAGCCATGTATAGTATCATCAGGACTACTGAAGAAAAAGAAAGAGGGATGGGAAACGACTTTTCCTCAATATAAATGTGAGGGCCGACTTTTTTGTTGGTCATTTTAACCGTATAACACGTCTGTAATCGTACATTGTACTCTTTACAAGTGTGCTCCCAAAGTAGCCACCAAGTTGGTTGGCTACAGTACGATGTATTTGATAATTAAAGCAATTACGGGAAAATAACTATATTAAGTATTATCTTGCTATATTTATATGAAATTAGTTAATATGGGATCATTTTAATATCCGTTTATTTTATCCCTATTATAAAATATGTAAAAGATAGACGTATAATACCTTTAATGCTTCGCGCAGATACAAATATCATGGACTACTAGATGCACGGTAGGTATATCGAGTAGTCCATGCAAGTATTATGTTATAGATTAATGGTGCTAATTTTGAGTTGGCTATGTGAGCAATATCGGTATAATGGGGTAATTTTAATTTAGCGACGAGGTAAACTTAAAAAGTTTTTATACAGTGGATTGGATGAATGGCTTGCAGCGTAATAATTGACAGGGGTAATCTTGTATCAAGCATAAAGTGATATTCTTATATCGTTTGCCATGGATGACTATGGGATGCAATGGTATTTACCAGTATAATCGTAGTTATTATTCAATCTTGTGATATTTACAATTTGGATCAAAGATTAATTTTAAGTTTTCAAAATTTTAATCATATACATATGTACTCGTATATAAATGTGTAAGTATACGCGCACGTACGTATAATACATACGTTTATAATTACATATACAATATACAATATGATAAGCGTTACTTCTATGCTAGATCCTTCCCTTTTCCGCTTTTCACATGAATTGAAGATATGATATATTTGTTATTCGCATATTTACTACCAAGCACCTAGGTGAAAAAAAAAATACCCGAAATTCATCACACTGTACAAGTTATTAGGACTAATTAGCATATATATATACGAGGAAAAATGAGAAAACAATTGCATCTAAAGACAAGATAAATAAAGCTACGAATATTATAGAAAATTAAATAATTGTGAGGTTTGGTAATGAAATAATAACAATGATGCCATTCTCTTCCAATTAATGTAGTTAACCGTTGAATACAATCCGTAGATAATAATGCAAATCATAATAATAATTCTATTTGATAAATTAACAGATGTATGAAAAAAATAAAGATGTCAATAATTATGTATACGAATGTAAGTAATCAATTTCCCGATATCAAAGATGCTAACATTTGCGTAAAATATCTAAGATCAATATTTTGCGGTGTTGTTACGCATAAGCGTATAATTTGATGGACATTTATGGATTTATGATACGTAAATCTCCGAATTTTCTTCTGCTATCACAGTTTTGAATTCCTTTCTATACTTCCCATAATCTTGAATAGT